ACAGAGAGAGAGAGAGAGAGAGAGAGAGACAGAGAGAGAGAGACAGAGACAGAGACAGAGACAGAGACAGAGAGAGAGAGAGAGATAATGTTTTACTGAGCGGGTTGTCATGTATACTCTGTCCCATCTTTAAGTATACACTGTGTTAAAATGAAAATAGTTAGTTTTAGAGTCAGCCGATATTCTTAAAACATTCAGGAATACTAATCAAATCAATTTTAAAAACGAAAAAAAGCAACAGCGATACGGAAATTTAACGTAACAGGTTTATTCCCGACTTATAAGAGTGTGGGGGTGGTCTACAAAAGTAACACGATCAGTAGCGCCTATGATGTCCTCTTGCACTGATGCCGGCCTCACATCGTCACCGCATGGAATTAACTAATCGTTTCACTTCCTGTTGAGGGATGTTATTCCACTCTTCATGCTATGCTCTCTCAGGTTGAGGAAGTGTCTGAGGCTGGTATTGTTTCCTTCAAATGAGCGATCGAGCAAGTGCCATAGATGCTCAATGGGATTCAAGTCAGGTGAGTAGGTTGGCCACTGTTGAAGAACTGGGATGTTATTTTCAAGTAGGAACTGGGTGGTTAGACGAACTCTATGCGCTGGATGGGGCTTTGTTATACATAAAGGTTAGTCCCTGGTTTTGAATGACTGTAGCGTCGTGTGGTCGAAGAATCTCGTCAATGTATCGGTGTGCTGTCAAATAAATTGCCACGTACTGTCATAAGTGGGGTCTTGGCAGCAGCTGAAATTCCTCCCCACACCATCACACCTTCACCACCAAAGGCTCTGGTCTGACCTAGGCTTTGAGGAACGACCCTCTCATTTACATTCCAGAATACGTGTGTTCTTCCATCTTGATATTCCAAAAGAAATCTGGATTCGCCGGAGAAGATTATTCCATACCAGGCGAGACCAAATTGAATGCATTTTTGCCCAGTCAAGCCTGTTTCTGATGTTGTAGGGCGTCAATCTGATGCAGTGAGCTGGGCGCCTTGCTCGGAGTCCAAATTTTTTCAGCCGTCTCAGTACAGTCGTTTTTTTTATATTGGATTAAACTCATCTCTGGTTTGTCTTGCTGTTTTGAAAGATTCCGTAGATGCAGCAGGTGTATAAAAAGACCCTCTCTTGAAGTAGCTTTTATCTTCCCAAATCGACGGAATCGATCCTTTTGTGATTCTGTTGTTCTTTCAAGATCCATTATTGCGTACACAGTTCTTCTTGTTACATTAAAATGTCTTGTAGCAATGGATACTGAGGCACCCCCACGGATCATTCCAACAAGCTGATTTCGCACATTTTCTCTTAAGCGTGGTATCATGAAACGTAGATAACACAACTTTTTAACACGGGCGAATTGTTACAAAAATGACAAAAGCTTCGATATGTGCTTCTTTTTAAAACTTATTATTGCCGTGTCATGGTTAACTCTTAAAAAACGCTAAAACATGTAACACACATGCAGTAATAAAACCACTCGCACGTTCAGAAATCTGAAAACAACTCACCTGCGACAGGTAAATCATGTAGTCAGTGTGTAAATTTGAAAGTAACTGGTGACATAAATTTGTTTAAATTATGCTTTAAAATGTGTATACTTAAAAATGCGACAGAGTATATTTACTAATGTCATGTCTTGTTGTGAGTGTATGCGTGAGTGCACCTAACCTTGTTAATGACCAAGACAAATTTCTCCCTGCGAGGCGAATAAAGATTGTATGTCATTGACAATGTCATTGTCCTTCTGACTTTGACAGCGCTGGCATCATGGTCGAAAATGAGACTTGAACGTTTTTATCAAGTGCGTAAATTCAAGCTTGATGTTGATAGCAGAACCACAAATAGCTTAACCTGTGTGAATTCTATGTACGACGCTAACTTATCGTTTTCAGCAGTTTGTTTGTTGTTTTTTGTTGTTTTTTTTTGTTTTTTGGGGGAGTGTTTGTTTGTTTTTGTATTTGTTTGTTTGTTTGTTTGTTTGTTTTTGTTGCTCCTCCCTCTCTTTCGGGTCGTAAGGCCCCCATTAGGGTTGATGACAGCGGTGCATCTGTGGGACATAGAGTGGACAGAGTGATTGAGTTGGCAGTCCGCCAAATTCGGACCCGTCTATTGTCAGGACCGATGCAGAAGCGACTCTTGTCGCTGAAGAGCACACGCTGCCTCTGTGGATGACGCCAGTTGACGTGGTTCTGAGCCCACTCCTAAAGAATAGCAGCACCCAGTTGTGCAGCTGTCCGGGGTCTGAGCTGGAGTTGGTTGAGACGCCTCTGAAAGATGTCCCAAAGGTGTTCTATTGCGCGTGCACTCCACTCCCCCCCCCAAACAAACAATCGAACTTACTTTACGATTGTCGCTTGTTTAATTTATCACTGGGGTAGGCCTACCTGTTTTGTGAAATATTAAATTACAACGAAGAAGCCCTCGTAGAACCCTCACTAATAAATGCAATTAGGGTTAGACGAGCAGATTCTGGGAATCCTGCTGATAACTATGAATAGATGATGAATCTAATGGTGATGATGATAATGATGACGACGAAGACGAGCGACGACGAAGACGAGCGACGACGACGACAGCAATGATGATGATGATGATGATGATGATGATGATGATGATGATGATGATGATGATGATGATGATGATGATGGTGACGATGATGATGATGATTGTTATTTTTGTGAATGTTCCTGAGGAAGCCCGTTGAGGGCGAAACACTGAACTGTGTATAATATTATTTTCTGGAAACACAACAAGGTGAGACTGATGTTTTTCCTTCATATAATTGTGTGTCTATTCGGTGTACCAGCGAAGTAAAGTTTTTATAGAGGGCAGAGAGAGAGAGAGAGAGAGAGAGAGAGAGAGAGAGAGAGAGAGAGAGAGAGAGAGAGAGAGAGGCTGCCGTGACAGTCGACAACCTAGGATATAAGTTTAATAATTAAGTCTACACGGGGTATTCACTCGACGGTCATCATTCAGGATAGAACCACACCGGAGACAAAAAAAGTATCTCCGACAACACACAGGAAGGGATTTCGTCATTTGACTCAGCTAGGATTGGATTTGAAAACCCCCAGCTAGGATTAGAAAAACAAAATTAAATAGGCCTACAGTTTTGGTTATTATGATAATATTTTGCAAAATTTTAAAAAAATAAATAGAGATAGCTTTCCATTTCTGTAAAAATATATATTGTATTTTAATGGTTGTGTCCCTTGTTAAGTTGTCGTGTAATCTGCTCGCGCTTGGCCCACAGTTCACCAGTAAGTTGTAATTTGACGAGAGAAAGAAATTGCTTGTTTTCTTTTATCTTTTGCCTTTATGATAGGATGAATGTAATCGAATCCTAAGTGCAAAAAATAAGCTAAAGTTTTGGAGTTGCTTAAAAAATATAAACAACGTGTTTTTAAAGATTTGACGAAGTTTGCCCGCCCAAATCGGGTTCCCCTCAGCCCTCAATCAATGATTGTCAATTGTTTCGTTTATTCCGTTTTGCAGTTTTGAATTGAAGTAAAGGGAGGTAAAATTTTCAGAGCGTCCATTCCCAGGTTCTGCATTTACGTAGAATGTTTTATCATAAGAATTTTATTGTTTTGGTATTGGAAGCTGTTTACTGATTGCCACCCACCAGCCAAAAAGCTTGTTGAAAAGGTACAGTTATGTTGAGCAACCTATATGCTTTATAGCCGAGCTCTACGTCCCCTTTTTTCCAAGGCCACGAGTTCGATATGAAGCGGGCCTTTTTCAGTTGCTTTGGCCGCCATTATGGGAAACGATTTCATGCGAAGACGAAAAGTAACGTTTGTTGTTGATGGCCGTACAGACGAGGGTTACTCGGTTGTTTACAATATAATTTTTAAATTAATATTGATGTTTTATTAGTTTTTTTCAATACTCTTTGTCAATTGCTCTTATTATGTATACGGAATGAAAATAATGTGGCCAATACGGTTAGAAATTCGAAGTTTGAGCGGGCTCCAGTGTCGAGGTTGATCTTGTTTTGCGGCTTGCGGCCGGGAAGGGCCAGGCTACACGGGACGGGGTAAGTCACTCAGTCACATACATACATAGATCTAGATGGACATTAACAACAGTGGATCTACCAGTTACACTACAACACATAAGTCCAGCAAGAACTATAACTATCTAAAGTGCTTGGCTAGGCAACAATAGATAGCAAGCATCTGCCCATGAATGATTATCAATTATTAACTGATGATTCCGTCCGATTTTTTCCAGCTCTGGACATAATTATTTTTCCCTGTTCTGTTTTAGACCTGGGGTGCATCTATTTAATGCATTACTGTGAAGCTCTAAGTTACTCTAATATGTATTGTCATATATCAAACTGATGGGAATCAAAAGAGGAATCTGTTTATATCAATAACAATGACCTAGCCTAGGCCTATAAATTATAAAATACCTATAATTTGTTTGTTTGTATTGCATTTTCTGTAAGATTGAAGAATACCGGACCAGCGGACTGACTTTGCCTGTGTCTCAACCTTAGGAATTCATAATTTCCCCGTTTTTAATATCTCTCAATGGAGAATCTCGGACCGGTAGATCTATTCATTAAAATTTTGTCAGGGGGGAGACCCCTTGACTTAGAGAAAAGGGGGGGGGGGTGTATGTAGATACGAAAATAAAATGCCAACAAAAAGGGGGGTCGCCGCTGCTGAAGCCACAAAAATAATAGATAGATGTAGGCCTCGTTTGCGACAGTTTTTAGTCCCCCCAAAAGATCGAGAATCTAGAGATAGATCTAGCTAGAGTCTAGATCTAGATTCTAGATCTAGGCTAAAATTATAAATAATTATTAATTTTTGCTTTCAACTCATCTTATCTTCAGTTGTAAATTGAGACCAAATAGATTCTAGCATCTTTCTTGACATTGTTATCTACACAGATTTCAACTTTATACTGTCACAACACAAATTATGAGGCCTAATTTTTTAGATAGAGGTTTTCTTTCGGTCTTTATTATAATATTATTACAAGTAAATTACCACCAGGCCTAATTGCTATGGCTAAGTAATAATGTAATAATTTATTATATCTGGATGGGGGGGGGGGGGGGGGGGTGTTCAGGAGTGTTTCACCATAATTTGATATTTTTGCGTTACATTTTTAGATTTTATTAAAAACTGTTGATTTGCAGTGGTTTCAATAACCCAGTGTTCTCTGCAGAAAAAATGTCACGCTAAATTAGCCTCCAAAAGTAGTGGATGCTTAGAGTTAAAGATGTATACGCTTTGGATTTCTATATTTTTGGGTTTCAGTTAGTCCCATAAGTTTTATTGTACAATACAGTAATAAAGCGCCCATGTTGATGTAGTTATGGACCATAGTAAAAATAGTTTCAGTGTTGTGGTTCGAAAAAAAAAATTACTTTTTCTCTGAGATAAAGACAGGACTTTTTAATGCTAGTTAAAAAAATTTTTTTTACTTAGGTTTTAGAAATACTTTTTTAAAGGGCCTTAAGTAATCATATTTAAATATATCTTGTTTTATCAGACTGGCTTTGTGGATCAAGTTGAATCGGACGTCACCAGCAGATGTGTGTGTGTGTGTAGAAGAGCATGGAGCAACAGACAGTGACCATGATGTCTGAGGAGGAGACCCCGGAGGTGGGGCCTAATGACATCGTTATTCATTTGGTCAACCCCTACAAGTGTGGACAGTGTGAGCTAGAGTTTCTGGAGAAGACAGTTTTCAAGGTTTGTAAACTACTTTTTTTAGACTGGATTGGCCAGAACCGAAGTCAGATGCTTTAAAAAAAATGTGTGTTGTTTCAGTCAAAGTTTTCTTGTTCGTATTTTTATGTAATGGTGATAGATTAAATTTTTCTGTAGACTGAGACCCCTTTTCAAAAATGTTCACAGGGTGGAAGTGATGAATTTTCAAGTAAACTATAGTGGTGTAAAAATTTTGAATATAAAATATATGCTTTTGAAAGCAGATTTTAATGAACAGAAAACTAGTTGTGAAATGAGAGGTTGCTATTGGTTTTCTTGGTCAGCTTTTAGGGGGGAAATAAACACAATTTAATTGGATTTGCCCCCCCCCCCCCCCCCCCCCCCCCCCAACTGGCCACCACAATCCTTTACAAATACACCTCCCTATGAGATAGAACCTTCCGGTACACAAACCTCTAGACTGTGTAGAGAAGAAAGGTTTGACTATTACAGAAACACCAAGTTTTCATGTTATGCCATGTAACTGAGTGTGTTAATTATAGATTACATGCTTCGTGAATTTAAATTGTATTTAAGGATTTTGATTTAAAGATGAACGTTTAATTAAGGTTTGCAAATGTTTTGTTGGTTAGAGATTGTCCTGCTTCATGAATTTAAATTGTTTATGATTTTTGTGTAAAGATGAACATATAAGTCTGTTCGGCTTTGAGATAAGGTTGATATTTTGATTTATGCAACAGGAACACATGTTTTCCCATCTGGAGCAAATCAAACAAGAACGTCCAAGTTCTCAGATTGTCATGAACATCACACTGCCACCGGAAACACCGGGTGGGGTCACTGTGACCAGAGATATCTTACAGCTGGGAGAAGATGGCTCCATCAAGCAAGTTTTGCAGGTTGGCCTCAGTGTTTCTCTCTGCACTTTGAATATTTTTTTTACATCATTATAATAGTCTGTATCCAATAAGATTCATTAAGTTTGTAGCTTGAGCAAACATTTTACCTGCCTGGTTTGGGGCTGTAGTTTTTCTGAATATAATGTGTAGTCCTCACTCCATCCACTGTGGTAATAGAATTAATTTGTAGGTAGCGCCTCTTTAGAAGTTTGTTTGTTTTGCAATTGGTGTAAAGCTAAATGAACTAGTTGGTTTTATTTTGCAAACAGTTCACTTTTTCGTGCTGTGTCCAGTTCAGTATTTCTTTGTTTATTAAAAGAAGAATTAAATTCTGTTTGTTATTTTAAAAGATGAAGATTATTGTTAGATCGATGTCCTACATAGTCGGCTTAAACCTCTGAAGATATCACTCAACTGGCGTGTCCACACTTCTCTCCTGCATAAAAAAGTGAACAAAAGACTATTTTTTCTTAGAAAGCTAAAGTATTTTAAAGTTGATAGAACATTGATGTCCATGTTCTACCATTCAACCATAGAAAGTATTATCGATTTTTGTATAACAGCATGGGCCGGGAACACAAGACAACAAGATAAAGAAAAATTAAATCGACTAATACGGAAAGCATGTAAAATTTCAACATCTTCATTTCCCTACTTGGATGAATTGTACATAACAGCTTGCACTAAGAAAATTAATTCCATCTTTTTAGACAACAAACATCCCTTGTTCCCTCAAATAAAAACATCAGTCAGAAGTAAAAGACCCATGCTTCTGATCTGTAACAAAGAAAGATACAGAAGGTCATTTTTACCATCATCTATCAAAATGCTTCCATCTTAACCATCTTGTTTAGTGTACTAACGACCTTAGAGCATGCATCAAAATAACATTGAGTGTGTATCTAGCTTACGATTATCATTGTTTATGTTGCTGCTCATTTATATTATGTATGTGATTGTAAGCCTACTTGTGTGTGCATGTGCGTGCACGTGTGTGCGTGTGTGTGTGTGTTTGTGTGTGTGTGTGTGTGTGTGTGTGTGTGCGCGTGCGTGCGTGTGTGTGTGTGCGTGTGTGTGTGTGTGTGTGTGTACTCGTGATGGAACACCAAACCAATGTGCCAGGATCTGGACAATAAAGATGTATCTTATCTTATCTTATCTTATCTTATTATTTTGAACAATATTATTTTTAAAAAAAGTTGAGGTGGGTTTTTACATTCTTTTTCAAAATGGATTTTTTGTCAAATAATTGTGTTTCCCATCGCTTTGGCTTAAGGTGGGAATCATTTGTCAGTATGGAAGGAAATGTTTATCTAACAGCATTATTTAACCCCCCCTCGTCTAAGAATTAAATTCCATTGTTTGTTTTGACCTTAATTTTATGTTCAAGGGCTATGATATGAATGTTAAAGATCCTTCTTACAAGCTGTTCCAAACCCTTTCATGGTTGTTTCTCTTCTGTTTTTGTGTCGTCAGCCGGCCAACAACATCACACTGAACCAGGTGTCCCCCCTGAGGGAGCTGGAGGAGGCTGGTGTCATCAAACTGGACCCCCCGAAGCCCCTGGAGCCGGTCATCCACTCGGTCAAGTCGCTCACGCAGCCCGTCCAGCAGGTGCCCAAGATGAACGCCATGACAACCACAGACACCACCAACGCAGCTCTGGGTCTGCTGCGCAGTGCGGCGGTCGGGGAACAGGCTGCAGCCATAGTGCAGCAGACGCAGACTACTGATAGCGCCGTGCCTGGCGGTATGGCTGTCTTAGGGGGGGACGGGATGGAGGGGTTGGTCAAAGCTGCGGAGGAGGGAGAGGAAACGGAAGTGTCAGAGATTGTGGACAACAAGGACGGCTCGTTCAGCGTGGCCTTTAAGGGGCCAAATAACGAGATGCAGCACATCCAGATTCTCCGGCCGGAGGGCATGAAGGGGGATATGATGCTGGAGCTGACCAACGTCCAGGGCCGGCGCAGGCACAGCCGCAGCGGTGTGACCACTAAGAGCAACGAGTGCGACATCTGCGGGAAGGTCTTGAGCAGTTCTACCAATCTAATCCGTCACAAAATGTACCACAGCTCGGAGAGGCCCTTTGTCTGTGAGGTGTGTAACAAAGGCTTCAAAGACGTGAGCAACCTGAAGAAACATACTCAGATCCATAAGCGTATCTACCCTTGTTTTCTCTGCAAGAAGTCTTTTCTACGCAAGTCCTTGCTGGCGATTCACTTGAAACGTCACGAGGCGAGAACGACGTTTGTGAAAACAGGCTCCAGCAGTAAGGAGGTGACCATGCGTACGTTTGTGGATGGGGACGGAACCAGAGTGGAGGAGATGAGCATGGTCGCCCTGGCAGGCCAGACTTTTGAGTACAAGCACCGCATCATGAAGGCCGACCCGGCCGAAGTCACTGGCATCAAGAAAGAGGAGGATAACAGTTCTGAGTCAGGCGTTGTGGACACGGGGACTACAACGAATCCCGAGACAGAAGTTTTGACGTCAGCTGCAGACGAGGCCGAGGGGAAGGTGGTGGGGAACTCGAAGCCTTTGTTCACAGTTACTTCAGGAGGTCTGCGTGAGGCAGGGGCTCCCGGAGAGGAGGAGGCGGCGGTGGGCACAAAACCCAACACGGATGGCACCGAAGGAATGGACGTGGATGACCTGCCGGACATGAAGATCCCGCCGGTGCCTGAAGAGTTTGTCAAGCTGTACCAGTGCGGTCACTGCGGCAAGAGAACCGTCCAGCGGGGGAACATGATGCGTCATCTCATCCACCACCTCAAGGACAAGCCGTTTGTGTGCGACGAGTGCCCCAAGCAGTTTGTGGACAAAGGCGAGCTGGTCAAGCACAAGAAGACGCACACCAAGCCGTACCGCTGCCACCAGTGCAACGGCGCCTTCGCCCACAACGTGCAGCTCATCAAGCACCTGCACAGCGAGTGTTTGGGCAACAGCGAGAACCTCAACTACACCGTCCTGGACGACGGCAAAACCTACAAGTGTGACATCTGCCACATTGAGATGAAGCGCCTGGGAAACATGATCAAGCACGTCAGCACCCACTCCTACGACAACAAGAGGTCCTCATGGCCCCACAGAAGCCTCCAGACTCCAAAAGCGGTAAAATCGTCGAATAGTGAACAAGTATCCCCAGCAACTCAGTCTCCCAATGCTCTGTACTATTTTGACGCCACCGAGCAAGCTTTCTTCTGCAGCATCTGCCTCAAGATGTTCAAGCAGCGGGCCAACGCACACCGCCACGTCAAAGTCCACATCAAAGAAAAGCCATTCCTGTGTCAGAAGTGCAATAAGGAGTTCCCCAACAGCAATGCCCTGAAGAAGCATGTCCTGATGCACAGACGGCCCTACAGGTGTGACATGTGCAAGGCCTCCTTCTCCCACAGGCTCCTGCTCGAAGCTCACAAGCGCAAGCACAGCGACAAGGAGAGAGACGAAGAAACGGCAGACTACGGCGTTTTGGAGGATAAGAGTGGCTACTACTGCAAGCACTGCGACAAGAAATTGACCAAGAAGTATCGAATGATGAGTCATATCCGTTCTCACCTGAACCAGCGACCGTTTGAGTGTCAGATTTGCAACAAGTGCTTTAGTTGTCAGTATATGCTTCAGAAGCACAAGAAATCACATGCCACCCCGTTCATCTGCGACAAATGCGGCGTCACGTTCTCCCGGAAATTCTTCTTGAACATGCACAAAAAGAAAATGCACTGCTCCGAAGAAGGAATAGAGGAAGAAGAGACGGGAATGGATGGAGATGGTAAAGAATTTCTCTGCTCAATCTGCAAGGCTCCGTTCTCCCGAGTCGTCATCAAAATGAACCACGAGAAGAAATGTCGGGAGGAGAGTAAAGTTCTCAGCAGGCTTCCCTCTGGCAAAGGTTTCAAGTGCAAAATCTGTAACAAAGTGGCCACGCTGAAACATAATCTGATGGTGCACATTAGGAAACACGAAGACGCCATCAGGATGGATTCATCGGGGCGCATCACTCTACTCACAGGCGCTCTCGGTGAAGACGACAAAAACGGAGGAAAGAAAAGTTTCCCCAGGAGCATGTCAATGCTGACCAAACGTTCGCGGTCTCCACGGACACCCAGGAAGAGCCTGATCTCCCAGATGAACCAAGATATGGAAGGCTCCGACTGGGAGGGCATGGAAGAGGAGGTTCTAGTGGAAGAGGAACAAGAGAAAGAGTTGGACGAAAGATGCCAAAGAACGCCGGGTGGATGGGCGTGTACTATCTGCCGCAGGAAGTTCACGGATAAAGACACTCTCTTGAGACACCTGGAGTCACATGCCACGAAAGAGAACTCGCAGAAAGAAGAGGGTAAGGAGGAGAATAGTAATGAGGAGGAGGCGGAAAAGAAGGAAACTCCGGATGCTGCTCCTGAGGAGTCTACTGATGAACCTCCCCTTGAGACCAGCAAAACACAGGAAGCTTCTGATACTCCGCTTCCTAAAGTCGAAAATGGCAATACGCCTGCCACAACAGGCACAGCAAATAAAAAATTGCGAGTTAGGGGGAAGGCGCCCTTTGCAACGACACCGGCAACGTCACGTCCCGTGAAAGATCCGAAGTCTTTGAAGAGCAGAGCTGCCGAGACAGCGGCAAAGTCAGAGCTCCAAGAGAGTCCTGGGTCCAGCCAAGAAGGAACTCCTTCCAGGAGTGCACATCGGCCTTCGAGGACTCAGAAGATACCGTCACGGTTTCTTGAGTGAAAGGAGGGTTTAGTATTTTGCAGCATGTTGATCTTTGTTTTTTTCAATCTAAAAAGCTATGCTACAAAAACAAATCGTATTCATGCACAAGTTTGATTTTATTTTTCAGACGGAGGAGGGGTGGTTGTCTTTTATGTCGTCAAAAGTTTGTTTTGCATGTAGTAATTTGGTAGATATTCATATTTCTTTTTGGTGACAGTTTCAACTCTTCTTCAGTGGGCCAACGAGATCTGTTCTGTGAAAAGAGAAAGTAATCTTGCTGTTTGATTACCAATTCCCATTCTTTTGATACAGTAAAAAAGAGTGTGCTCTTCACAGTGCTGCTGTCCCCATACTAGTGTAACTTCATTTCATGTTCTTTTTATAGCCCAGTACATGTATAACAGTTTGAGAAAGAGTTTTAAGTTGTTACTTTTATAAAGACAGATTTTTTCTTTTTGAGATGAAATTTCTTCTTGTTCATGTAGGATATATAGGAAACCTGCTTCTTGTTTTTTAATGTTTTGTTTTTTATCGCTATTTTTTGTTGTTGTTTTGTTAGACTATACATGTACAGTGGAGTCCTCGTAAACTAAACACGGTTAATCCAAAAACAGTGGTAAATCTAAAGAAAGTAAACTTTCAAAACTGAAAACATGACTAAATAGAGAAAATTTGAAATTCTCAGAAATTTTTGTTTTTAAGTGGGCGCTACTGTGCTGTGGTTAGTTTTTATTAGATCTATGTTGTAAATGTAGAAAGGTCAACAGTCGTATTCACCTTAGTGTTCCTGTATTGTAAAGACTGTGGCTGTACTTTTTTTGTCTTTGTTTTTATTTTTATGAAAATATTGTTAGTAACTGATCATATTCCTCTTGAAATGGTATGTTCGGCGCTTTTCACGTCGTACCGTAGCACTAGCAAGGTTGGCTAAATTGCATTTATTTGATCAAACTGATATGTTATATTTGTAAACAATTTTGTATTCCAGCAAAGATGTGTGCAAGTCATGAAGGTTTCTGTGTTTTTGTTTGATACTCAATGATATACACATGTACGTCAGTTCTCTCTTCTTTCTATAATATATATTTATCATGGAGGAGTTCTGTGCACAGGTTAGAGGATTTTGCGTAAACCTTAAGCTGGTGATTTTCTCATCCTTTCTGTGTCACTGATTATTGCATTTAATCATGTGTATGCAAGTGCAAGGAAATAAATAAGACACCGTGTTAGTATTTTAGAAGTTCATTTGAAAACTGATGACATTATATTTGTTGCAATTTCATATGCATGGGGGAGGGGTAAATATTTTTAGAAATTTTAGACGTGTATTTAGGGGAGTGCGACTTTATGAATGAGAGCAGGGGGCATTATTTTCATTTTGTAGAAAGTTTTGCCTTGTACTGTTCTTGTTAGCATGATGAACACACCGTACTCGCTGTAGTTAATGAATGTACCATTTTTGCTTGCTTAACCATTTCATATGTAATATATGTTGGGTTTTGCATGTCTTGATACATCAAGATATAAAAAATTGTGCAATTTCCTGATGTACCAGGTACCTAATTCAATATATGTGGCTTTGAAGGGGTAGAAACATACCTTGTCAATAGGAAGGATGTCAAATGGATACTCTTCTATTTACTATGGATGAAATGCACATTAATGTAGACTAGTGGTCTTGCCATTTTGAAGTACATGCATGTGTGTACCATACTTCATTGTTCAAAGCCCATGTCAAAGATAATGATGTTCATTGACTTGAACTGAAATGAAATCAGCATGATTACAGGGGGGGGGGGGAGAACAAAAATAAAAAGAATGCAAACTGTTTATAAACCAGTGCGGTTTTTCTTAAAAGATGACACAGAATGACATGTTTGGAGATTTTTACTCTTTTTTTTTTCTTTCTTCTAACTCCACTGTTTGTCCAGTTTATCTTTATTTTAATGATAATGTGTTTTTAGTCTGGAGCATATTCTTTGTTGACTAGTTATCAGTTTGTTCAGTTCTATGTTGTTGGCCATGCTCTTGTGGACATGTGTGTAAGTTACCGGTACAGGGTACCACAAGCCACTCTTGTACTTCAACAAGATAATACACAGTTACTACTGTGTTACCTTCCAGTATAATGTACATGAGCAATAATACAACACAGGTCTCCCATGTTTTTCTTTACTGCAGGTTACCAAGCTGCATGAGTAGTGTATTGGGGTGAGGGGGGGGGGGGGGGGGGGCTACAGATAGTTTGTACGTTAAGGTTCCTTACTGCTTTATAAGAATTGCCTAGATATTTTTTTTTAATTGAATCTGTTAGAAATAAAATACTTCTGTGTTTTAGTGCAGTTATTTCAAACAAAACGGTTTCAATTTTAATTTACTTCAGATGCCACAAGCAGGAAAGGAAGGATGTTAAAAATAAAATCTACTTCAATTTCTTTCTGTGTTTTGCGCCTGGATCGCATTGAAAGCTCTAGATGTAACGATTAAGCTTGAATTTTAATAATATTTGTTTTATTCATTTCACATGTGTTTCCTTCTTTGTTGCACATTTTTGTACTGTTTTTCTGTTACATTGATATTTACGATGGATCGGTCAGAATGTAATTTTTGAAAACATCTTTAGAATGTTGGTATTGAGAAGAAAACATCCTCTTTTTAAAAATTTAGTCTGTCTGTTTCTTTGACTCTTGACTTTTCATGCAGGGGGGGACTCGGTATCTGATGGCATTGGTTTGTAAAAAGAGATGATTTCTGTTTTTGTTTTACCATCACTTATTATCAACAGTCAGTGTATAAATGTTATCTATCATCATGTGACAACAACCTCCATCTTTTCTCACGCCTCTTATATCTGGATCTGAATTCTGATGTACTGGGCTGTCCCCGTCGTTTTATGCAAGAAAAATTATGAAATTATGCAAACCGAGCCCAAAAATGTGAAATTATGTGATTCTGTTAATTTTTAACAAAGAATGATAAAGGAAAATAATCAGAAATTATGCAAAAAATATCAAATTTGCTAAATTTTGCGAGGTGCATAAAACCACGGGGACAGACTGGGTGTATGGCCATCTATCCCTCCTAAAACATGCTCAGAGCCAAGCACGCGATTTTTGGATCAGAAGGTTAAAAAAGTTTTGTTTTTGGCTTTCTTTGTTTTTTCTAAATGGACGACAGCAATAGATTTTTACCCTTTGTGATTTGGTTCTGGTCTGTCTGTTTGAGTTTGTGAACCTGCCAAGTACTCCAATGAAAGTTGCATAAAAATCTGTTTTTCTTTCTTTTTGAATTCCATTTCCGTCAGGTCAAATGGGACTTATTATAATTTATTTAATTAAATTACAAATTTTTGTTTGCTTGTGTGCAATACACATTTTTTTGGCACGGTTACATACCGTAATTATTTTTAAAAAATAAACTTCTATTCTTTTGGAAGGATTTTCAAGAAAGCTCCTCTTTTTGTTCATAGCTTGGTTGGTAGGTTTGAGTTAGAGGTGTATATATAATCTATAAAGTTTATAATGGGTGCTTTTGGCATGGAGTGGTTGGTAGGTTTGTGTTAGAGGTGTATTTAAACTCTATTAAGTTTATAAAGGGGGGGAAAAAAAGGGTTGCTTTTGATGTGCTCCTCCCAGACACTGAGATTCTACTCCACAGCAGCATGTGTCATGTCATGTACTTCTTTGTTCACTTCATCTGTACCTTGCTGTAGCCATTACTGATCTTCATGTTTCATGCTCATTTCTATTTAATAAAAGCATTTTGACAGAGCCAGGTCTTGTTGTATTTTTTATCTCCCACTTTTATTATGTATGCTGGGTCCTCTGATGTGGTTTGTCTTTTTGACTTTTTTCACAGTGCCTCTCTATACATGTACTGTTCTTGTTGTTCTGTGTTTGTTGTTAAACACCTTAATAAACCCCCAAACAGTGGGTGGTTGGCGGGTGCTCTGGTGTGGTTTGCTTCTTCTTTCCTATCAAACATCTGTTTTTCTTATCTCCCCTTCTTCTCTCTTATGCCTGTTACTCTCTCGTAACACCTCTAATCTTCTGGCGCTCATATGACCTTATGCAGTTGCGAACGCCGTAAAACCTCTACTAAAAGTAAAAGTAAAACCCCCTAACTTCAATTTTCCTGTTCAGATAGATGAAGACATGTCCGTGGCAGACTATTTCTGTGTGTGATTGTTACACAGACAATACGACATAATATTTATGTGTGGCGTCTTGGGGAAATCAGGCCCGTGTCAAAATATGGAATCGAAAAAATCACCATTGTTCTGCTCTTAGAGCAATTTGTATTGAATTTTTATTTTTGACTCAACACCTGTTCATGGTCTTTGAAAGAAACATTTCTCTGTGGATTTTACTGGAAAAACGTTGGTAAATGGCACTAAGAATGTAAACTTGCAGTTTTCAAGGACACCTGATTTATTAAAGCTTAGAAGTCACCAAACTTTTACGGCCATTTTCTTGCTAACTTTTTTTACCCCTGACCAGGTACCCCCACCTACTACTTTTCTCGCAAATTACTTTCTTGACTTCTATTCAAGAAAGATGGGTATTTTTAAAAAAATTCAAAGTCAAGACAAATAATTACGCCTCAAAATGATGTCAATAATTTAATATATTTATTATGCCCAAAAATTGACGAGCGCCTCTTTTCACCATAATGCCACACATTATCTAAATTTGATTTGTGCACACGACATTTTCTATGTAATTTACTGTGGTCGCAAGTGTTGGGGAACACGTACACCCTGTCCATTCAAGGAACTTGATCCATGATATGCTCTACTTTTTTTGGGGGGA